TATTAGAGCAACAATAGTAAGGCCAGTACCCTACTACAATTTTAACCTTCATTATGGGCATTGAGCATCAAGTATTGCGCCTTGCGTAATGGCGATGTTCACACTGGGTTTCCTGCCATATGTCAGTGTGTTGTCGTCGCTGGGTCGGTGCTATGGTTGCGCCAGGCGCTGCGAATGGAGGCGCAGTGGCATCACGCTGCTGCGACCGTGCTGCGCCATAACTCTAAGACAGACAGATCCTCGTGCCAATCAGGTTAATGCGCGGACGGGGAGGTTTTACAAGCTCATCTCGGCTTGCACGCAGGCGCCACCGCATGTGCATTGTCCAGTGATACTGTTGGCGCCCAAACCCTTTGTAGTCCTACCAGCGGGGCCGTTGTCAGAAAACAAATATAGTCTTGAACATTAGTCTTACACTAACCATTTTCTCGGTAGACGTTGTCCGACACGCGCTTTGTTCCCATTGTGATGAGGAAATCGTGCTTTACGATTTTCCATTCAGGGCAACTTGCAGGTTCACTCTGTCGACGGTGCGCTAAGAGAGAAACAATTCATGTTAGGGACTAATGTTAGTTACTAATTTTTTTCTGTCTGACAACGGGCCCCGTTGCTCAGCCCAATAAAAGAAAGGCATTCAGACTTAGCAGATATAGTCAACACTGTTGTTTTTGTGGGCTTAACACAATCGCTCGACGTGCCCTCGATGGTCGGATGCACGTGTAACGCTCATAAATAAATCGTGTGCACGTTAACATGTCGTCATCGCCGCACGCGCTTCACTCGGTCAGGCAGGGCGCTCGCCGACGCCCGATACCTTCAGTTCTTATACTTGTTTGATATTAATTTTGAATGATTTGGACTGTAATATTGAGATTGGATCGGGAAACTTGCCGCATAAAGCGTGCCGCGCCTCCACCACCAGTGCTACTCTCGCGGACGACCTGCTCACGCCAGATCACAGAGGTCATCAGATTGGTAGTTTTTCTGTCCGGGCAGGGCCTCATCGGCCATTCCATGACAAAGCGTCATCAATACTCCGGTGCACGCGTAACACGGCCTCCCTGTGACAAAAGCGTCGCTATCAGTATACATTCGTGCACCGCATAACACGTCGTCCATCGCAGCGCTCGCACGTTTTCCGTCGGGGCCTCATCGGCCATCCATGTCAGAAACGTCGATCAATAAGCCAAAACTAATATAATGGTGTGGTTTACCAATCACATGCCGGCGAAAAAAATAGGGTAGGGTAGGTAGGGAAACATGTATTTTCTTGAAATTATTGTAGTTCGAACTAGGTGCGCGGAAAGGATGGCGTTGTGCCTTTTTGAAGCAGGGAACTGTTCTAATTCATATGTTACTGTGTTAAATGTTATATTATATTTGTTTTTTACTTAAAATTGACAATAAATGTTTGAGGGTCGCTCGGATAATCAGGGCGGGTCTGGGGAAACCGTAACCACACCTATATTTTGTTTTGGCCTAATCGTGCATGCGTAACACGTCATCATCGCCGTTCGTGCGTTTCTTGGTCGGCATGGCCTCATCGAGCCCATTCTATGTTCAGAACGTTCGATTCAATAATCGCTGGCACGCGTAGGAGCCGTCCTCAGTCACCGTTCGTGCGGTTTCTTGTCGGGCATGGCCGTCATCGGCTATCTATGTTCCACACTGTCACTCAATAATGTGACACGTAATTACGTCGGTCATCACGTTTGCCGCTGCGTTTCTTGTCGGCAGACGGCCTCATCTCGGCCATCCATGGTCAAACGTCATCAGTCACTCCGTGTTGGCGCGAGTACACACGGTTGAATCGGCGAAGCACTCGCGCGTGTTTTGGTCGGCGAGGGCCTCATCTTGGCCATCCATGTCAAACGTCATCATACCGTGCACGCGTTAACACGGTCGTCATCGCAGCACTCACGCGTTTGTTCGTCGGCAGGCGCAGGCCTCATCGGCCGATCCTAGTGTCAAACGCATCATACTCCGTGCACTCGTAACACGGTGCGGTCATATGGCCCAGCCGCTTGAGCGTTTTTCGCGGCGGCCTCATTCCGGCCAGTCGCGCGATGTCAAACGGTCATTCAATACTTGTGCAGCGTAGACACGTCATCGCAGCAACTCTGGCGCGTTTTTCGTCGGCAGGCGGTCATTCGCGATCTGATCGACTAGACAAACCTGCGGGTCGCGGCACAGCGCAGAGCCGCCCGGCGATCGTGGCGCCAGGCTGCTCTGCCTGCTCACCAGGGACACCGGCCGCCGCGACCGACGAGTCTGAAACGGCGTAGCTGATGCGGGCGCTATCGGCCGGGCGCCTGGAGCTGCGCGCACCGCGCAACCTGCAGACGTCGCCGCAGTCCGTGGCCGTCACGACCGGTGACGCTGCTCGCCGCCTCCCGTTTGGCAGGAAGGGACGCCAAGTGGCTAGGAGCCAGCGGCCGTGCGAGTGCGGTGAGGTGGAGAGTGAGCGGACAGCGGAGGGTGGGGAGGATGAGAGTAAGAGCTGGGAGGGGTAGGAGGTTAGGAGTGCGCGGATTGGGGTGGATGGGTCACAGTGAGTCAGGGAGCTGAGCTGCGTGCCGAATCAGAGGGTGCAGTTAAGGCTGGCGAGGGTGGGGAGGGTGGTAGTAATGCGCCTGTTGTGCTGGGATGGTGGGGGAGGTGGCAATAAGCGCTGGAGGGTTAGGAGTGGGGCAATAAGGCACTGGGGAGGGGTGGGGAGGTGTAGTAAGCGCTTGGAGGGTGTGCGAGGGTCGCGCAGTAAGCGTGGCCGGGGGTGGGGGCGGGGGTAGGTAAGGCCGCTGGGGAGGGTGGGGAGGGTGGTAGGTTAAGCCGGCTGGAGGTGGGCGAGGGCTGGGCAGTAGCGCTGTCGCGGAGGGTGGGAGGTTCGGGTACGTTAGAAGCGCTGGTGAGGGTGCGGGAGGCGTGGCAGTAAGCGCGGTGAGGGTGGGGAAGGGTTGGTAGTAAGCGCTGGGGGGTAGGGAGGGTGGTTAGTAAGAGCTGGGATGGTGGGGGAGGGTGGCAGTAAGTGCTGGAGGTAGGGGAGGGTTCGGTAGTAAGCGCTGGCTCGGGGGTGGAGAGGGTGGTAGTAAAGCGCTGGGAGGGTAGGGAGCCGGTGTGCGGTAGTAGAGCGGATGGGGGTGAGGCCCGGTGGGCGCGCAGTAGAGTGTGGAGAGGGTAGGGAGGGTCGGTAGTCAAGCGCTGGAGGGTTGGGGGTGGTAGTAAGCGCTGGAGGGTGGGAGGGTGGCAAGCTAAGCGGCTGGCGAGGGTGGGAGCGTGACAGTGAGCGCCCTGGGAGGGTGGGCGAGGGATGGTAGTAAGCGCTGGGAGGGTGGGTGAGGGTGTAGTAAGCGCTCTGGGAGGGTGGGAGTGGTGGTAGGTGAGTAAGCGCTGGGAGGGGTGAGGAGACGGTGTAGTAAGGCGCGGGAGGGTGGGCGGTGGGCGTGGAGGGTCGGTAGTAAGCGCTGGGGGGTGGGGGGTGGTAAGTAAGCCGCTGGGAGGGTGGCGAGAGGGTGGAGTAAGTGCTGGAGGGTGGGGAGGTGGCGCGAGGGTGGTAGTCATAGCGCTGGGGGGTGGGAGGGCTGGTTAGTAAGTGCTGGGAGGGTGGGAGGGACAGTAAGGCCGTGGTAGGAGTGGGAAGGGTTGTACGTAAGCGCCGGGGAGGGTGCGGAGGGTGGTAGTGCGCTGTGAGGGTGGGGGGTGGTAATGCTGGAGGGGTGGGGGAGGGTGGGTAGTAAGCGCTGGGAGGGTGGGGAGGGTGAGTAACGCGCTGGGGAGGGTAAGCCGAGCCGGTGGGCAGTTTAAAGCTGGCTGGAGGGGGGTGCGCAGAAGTGCTGGGAGCGGTGGGGGAGGGGTGGCAGTAAATGCGGGGGAGGGTGGGAGGGTGGTAGTAGCGCTGGGAGGGTGGCGATGAGGGGTGCAGTAATGGGGGAAGGCGGTGGGGGGTGGTAGTAACGCTGGGGGGGTGGGGTCGGAGGTCGGCGTACAGGGCTGGCTGGGAGGGTGAGGAGGGTGGTAGTAAGTGCTGGGAGGGTGGGGAGGGTGGTAGTAAACGCTGGGAGGGTGGGGAGGGTGGTAGTAAACGCTGGGAGGGTGGGGAGGGTGGCAGTAAGCGCCAGGTGTGGTGGGGATTTTGGCAGCAAGGAAAGGGTGTGATGAGTGGTACTAAGCACCGGCTGATTTAACATAAGGCAAGTGTTGAGTTAGTGTGAGTAGTTAGAATAGATTCCTTACTTTCGCGAAACAGCACCAGCAATTTACAGTGCGTAAGAGGGACGTTACTAAGCTATGCAGAAAAGGCATGAGAAAAATATCTTAATGCGAAGATAGCGTGCCTTTAATTTAATTTGAAATTATACTGCACCACAGCGAGTTGGAGGCAACAAGTTACTGGCACCAAGGTGAACGTATCTTTCTAAAAAGGGTTATCAAGGCCATTACAATAGCACTTGTCTTGTGAGACAAGGAAGGAAGAATGTGTATACTACGTGAGATTCATGGGTCGTTATGAAATCGTTTCAGTTCTGCGTCTTTTCCTGATGAGTGTGAACACACACAGTCCTGTTGTCATGGAGAATATCACTCTACCCTGCTTGAAGATCCTACACCATCTCATCAAACCTGATGCACCGACCAGCAAGAAGAACAGGGTATGTGTTTACTGATGTTCACGTGTGTGCGTGTGTGCCTAGCCTACTATATGAATGCTGTAAAATAAACAGTAGCTCCTTTGTTTCCATTACTTTTATTACTCTTATTATTCCATTTCTATTTGCGCATTTTAATTGTGACCATGCGCCAATCCATAAGCTTCGTTATGGGGTTAAATATGCATATCATATACAATAACTTTCTAATATATATGACCCTCCTAACTATGCACGGACTTCCTGTAAAAACATATTATCTTGGATTAAAATTGTTGTTCTAGGACCGATCTGTGGAGTCCATCCTATCCGTGAGGACGGCCAGCTCAGAGGTGAGAGTGGACGCAAGAAACTGGCTAAGTCACAACAGTCAGAACTCTTTCCACACGTGGAAACAACTGAAGGCCTCTGAACCTGCCGGTGAGACAGTAGTTTAACAGACAGTTGTAACAAAATAGGTTGGTTGTTGATTGCGAGGCAAGTGGAAACTCTCGTGCACTTTCAAAGTCAAATCGTGGTGGTGTGTTGTGTCTGAATATGATACCATGTGTGCCTGCATCACATATGCGAACCAAAGTTTTTAGGGTAAACTCCACCGTGTAGTAGAGTGATATAAAATGAAAATGATAGTTGACGTCCAAGAGACCTCCACCGTTTGTGATATTGTGAGTGCAAATCATTCGTGAAAACTAGTAGACATTCCTCATTACCTCCGCCCAACGGAGTTGGAGGAGGTTATGTTTTCGCTCCCGTGTGCGTGTGTTCGTGTGTTAGTGTGTTCGTGTGTTCGCGCGATCGATATTAGCGCGTCAGCCAGCGAGCCAGCCAGCGCAGCGAGCCAGCAAGCGTGTACATGTCAGCGAGCAGCAGCAACGAGCGGCTGCTACGAGCGAGCGAGCAGCAAGCCAGCAAGCCAGCGTGTACATGTGAGCGAGCAGCAGCAACGAGCGGCTGCTACGAGCGAGCGAGCAGCAAGCCAGCAAGCCAGCGTGTACATGTCAGTACGCTGGCGTACATCGTGGCTTATTCCTGTGTTCGTGAGTCGCATGGCGTATGGCCTATGTCGCTGGTGGAGGTATGCACTCTCCGTGAGTGCACTCTGTCTAGTTGAAACTGTGGTCAGCATTCTGATTTCTATATGCGATTATTGCTATGATGATTACTGTTACACTACTGACACTATGTACCTGTGTTTGCAGTTACAGAACCTGTAGTCGTGGTGCCAGCAGCACCTTCCACGGGTAAGCTGGACAAGAATGAAGCGAGAATTAGATACTTAATGGAGAAATATGGCAGAAGATGGAAAGAGAGAACTAAGAAGCTGAAACAAGGTAATATTGGTCACAATGTCTCTTGTTCGATTTATTTTAGATTCTTTCCTGTTGAGATGCATACCCGGCTTTGTTCCTGCCCGTCATATTGACAAAGAACGCATTTAACTATCACAGAGCTGGGTTAACGTATGCCCGCTAGCTCTAGAAAATTCTGTAAAGATCACAGATTTAGTATCTCCGACCTGATTGCGTCGTTTATAGGTAGTACCGTGACCAACATACGTACGTTGTAATATTTAACTGAAATATATATTGTTGAGTATAAATTGTATACGGTTTATATCCACTCCTGATCGTATCGTTGCATAGTATCAGGGGAAAATAAAGCCAGACAACTTGTTAGAAACATAATCTGTCATTATTCACCCCAAAATAGTATATAGATATGTTCACGGTATAGAGTACCGAAGTGTGACGTCACGGTGGCATGACAACGAACCCACTGGTTCTAAACAACCCACTGGCTCCATAACATTAACTGCGTGAAAATGTTGTGCGTACGTAAAACACGAGTGTGTGCGCTGCAGACAGCGGTAAAGCATCGGTAGCAAGTCGATCTTACAATATTTAATTAAATAATTAATTTTTTTTGATTTTTATTTTTTTTAAATTTATTTTAGTCTTGTGTGTGTTGCTTTTCACTTCCATCCTTTGGAAATCTATAAAAACTGCAATAATGACTCAGAATGATGGTTACAATCGGGTACAAAACACGACACCATTTTCACGCAGCTAATGTTACCAGAGTATATATGATTGTTTAGAACCAGTGGGTTCGTTGTCAGGCCACCGTGACGTCATCACTTCGGAGCTCTATAGTACTACATGGATATAAAGCTAGGTGACATGTATGCATTAATGTCTGTATGTATTACTTGACACTCTAGCTGGTGGGCTTACGAGCATGAAGTTACTGGACAGTGCCTGGCTGCGACATGTCATCTTCTCGCCTAGTTCGCGCGCTGCCCGCCAGGTGGCGTGTAACATGCTCGAGGTGATGTGTCAGGCACCTAGCAGAAAGCGGGAGATACTGGACCTTCTGACGGGGTAGGGACTGTGCGGGATTGATGCTGGCAACATCGGTTGTGCTTTAGAAGATAATTTTGTGTTAAATGTAATTTGTGTGAAGAGCTGCATACAGGTGTATTGTTTGAGCGTACGTGCGTGCATACGCTTGTGTGTTTGTACATCCATGTGTGTGTGTGTTTATGGCGAGGGAAGGAATATCTGTGTGTTAGTGCGCATGCGTATGCTTGTATGGAAACTGCTGTGTGCACGGGTGTGTGTGTGTGTGTGTGTGTGCGTGCCTGCATGCGTGTGTGCGTGCGTGTGTGTGTGTGTGCGTGTGTATGTATGTGAAGGTTCACATTTAATAGCATATTTGCAAATTTTCCAAACTTGCATGATATTTCTTAATAACGACGTGATGTCCCTATCGAAACGGTTACAGTTCTTAATAACAACATGAAATAATAAATTAATAAATAATATTTCTTAATAAAACGGTTACGTTAGTGGCGCGACGTCCCGCATCACCACGGTTACGTTAACGGCGCGACGTCCCGCATCGCCACGGTTACGTTAACGGCGCGACGTCCCGCATCACCACGGTTACGCTAATGGTGCGACGTCCGTTGTCATGCAGCTACTTGGATGAGCTGGGCAGGAGCGGGGAGAGCGCTACAGAGTTCCTCGCTCTCTACCAGCGACTCATGAAGACCTCGCACTGGAAGAACTATCTCGCCAGGCGCGGAGTGTTGCCACACATCGGCAATCTCATCATCAAGGTGAGACCACCGCCTCCGCCGCTGCCGTCTGACCCCACATCCTCCGCCTCGTGCTGAGGCGTCTAGTGTGCTAGTTTGCGGTGAAGTTTATCGATGATATTTATTGGTTTTCATTTTCAATTGGTTCATATTTATATGGAGTGTTTAGTTTTATCATATGCTATTCAAATAGCCTGGAAGCTTTTCTACATCGTAGTAGTTATTATTGTTAGTAGAAATTTGAATAACACGAATTGTATGTATATGAAGATAGAGAGGAAGGCAGCCGGAGACGGAGAGGGAAGGAGAGAAAGGGCGAGAGAGAGAAAAGCAGAGTATTGGCATGTTTGAAGTGGGTTGGTGGTGTTTATGAAGATGTGAGGATAACTGAATTGCTATCTAATAGGAAATCGAGCAGTTGACAGCTTTGGAGGAAACGACCTTGAACTCTGACCTGTCTCTTGGCTTTGCACTGAAAGCACTCACCGGTAAGTGGGAAGATCTGAATGCTTATTCACTCTGATCGTATAACATCCTATATGTCGCCGAATGTGTTTCGTTTTAAAACTGTCTTTATGTTACCTGTCGCCTATGTCACCTGTCTTCATGTCACCTGTGTCACCTGTGTCACCTATGTCATTATGTCATCGTGTCACCTTTGTCATCATGGACGTGTGACACGTGTTTCAGAGCTGCTTGCTTCCTTCGTGGAGCAGGGCACAATCAAGCAGCAGTTCATCATGTCACCCATGTCATCATGTGTCACATATGTCATCATGTCACATATGTCATCACGTCACATATGTCACGTATGTCACCTGTATCATTATGTCACCTGCATGTTTCAGAGCTGCTGGCATCCTTCGTGGAGCAGGACACGATCAAGCAGCAGTTTAAGGGCCGGCTGGTTGGCGTCGTGCTCAACGGCTACCTGTCTCTGCGCAAGCTCATCGTTCAGCGCACCAAGCTCATCGACGAGACGCAGGAGAAGCTGCTAGAGCTGCTCGAAGAGATGACCACCGGTGCGTCATCGCCACGGCAACGCCACGCGCGCGCGAGCGAACCCGATCGCCTGCCTCTTCCTCTGTCCATCGCCGTGACAATCCCGTCGCCCTGCTGTCCTCTCGGTCTGATCGTTGCCGATGGTGTTGCAACCACGCTAGACCCCCCCCCCCCGGGTCGTCACGAGGGATCCGTGAATATGACTAGCCCGCTATGTCGCTACGGTGACGGGTCGAGAGTGCTCCCTGCGTCGGTCGCCGTGGCGACGCAGTGTGCAAGAAAGATGCGTGAACACAACTCCCCTCCATCACTACGCTAACAGGTCCACGAGGAAGACTCAGTGTTAAGATTAATCATGTTACGACTAATGAATTTTGAATGAATAATATAATGACTAATGAACTAAGACTAGATTAATTTTCTTTCCGATAATGAGCTCCCGACGTGTAACGCACCCCTGCTCTCCATGTCCGCTCAAAACAGTCTGGCCCATCTCATTCGACGCCTGTCGCACTACAGCTGAATTCTAATCCATACGGACGCGTAGTAAACGTTGTTTTCTTCGTTCGTTGTTGCGGCGCAGGCACGGAGTCAGAGACGCGGGGCTTCATGGTCGTGTGCGTCGAGACGCTGTCCAAGTACGGGCTGGAGGACATCCGCACGCCCGTCTACATATTCGAGCGACTCTGTAGCATCATCTACCCGGTGAGTGAGAGATTTATCCAAGTTTTTATGTTACAAATTAAATCGATTATTGTATTTTCTAAATGTCTAATCTTCTTCTATCAGGAAATGTCACCAAATGTGTTCTATATTGCACTCAAGGAGAATGACATCAAGCTAACTAACTAAATTATTAACACATTACTGTACGCTCTGTACACGTTAGGAGGAGAATGACATTGGAGAGTTCTTCATCACGCTCGAGAAGGATCTGCAGCAGGAGGACTTCCTGCAGGGTCGCATGCTGGGCAACCCCTACAGCTCCCTCGAGCCGGGACTCGGACCCCTCATGCGAGACGTCAAGAACAAAATCTGCCAGGGTATGTTCAGCTCGTCGCTAGCTTCTTAACCGAGTAGGCTCTAAGCGACAAGTGCAGTGATGCCCACGTGGGGGTTGTATGGTGTAGAGTGGGGTCTAGTGACAAGCTCGGTGGTTCCACGTGTAAGGGGTTGTATGGTGTAGAGTGGGGTCTAGTGACAAGCTCGGTGGTCCCACGTGTAAGGGGTTGTGCGGTGTAGAGTTGGGCAGGGTCTCTGGTTTACTTAGGCAAAGGTATTCGATAACAGGAAGGAGGCATACGTCTGGTTACATATTGTGAAGTTGTGCTGATTACCTACTTGATAGATAGTAATAGTGTCATACTGTAATCAGTAACATATATACGCTCACGAACACTTGTAGACTGTGAGTGAATACTATCCATTCTTGTAGATATATATATATATATACATACATGATTGTAGACTGTGAGCTGGTGGCGCTGCTGGAAGACGACAGCGGCATGGAACTGCTTGTCAACAACAAGATCATCAGCCTCGACCTTCCCGTCAAGGACGTCTACAAGAAAACATGGCTGCCAGACGGCGAGGGTGAGGCGATGCGCATCGTCTACCGCATGCGCGGCCTGCTAGGGGACGCCACCGAGGAGTTCATCGAGTCGCTCGACATGAAGAAGGACGAGGCGGTCGACAACGAGGCCGTGTACAAGATGGCGACCGTCATGAGCGAGTGCGGCGGGCTCGAGTCGATGCTGAAGAGGTGAGGGGGAGCGCGTGTGGTCGTCGACGATGTGTTGTCGTTGGCTTGTTGAACAGCGTGCTGGTTGATTTTTAATATTTTTAAGTTTCTTAAAATGTTACATGTCTTATGTTGTGGTGGGTATGTTTATACCAAGAATATATATATATTATATATATGTATATATATTACTATTTTTATATATATATATATATATATATATGTATATATATAGAGAGAGAGAGACAGAGAGACAGAGAGAGAGAGAGAGAGAGTGAGAGAGAGAGAGAGAGAGAGAGAGAGAGAGAGAGAAGAGAGAGAGAGAGAGAGAGAGAGAGAGAGAGAGAGACAGATATAGATAGATAGATGGATATAAGTTACATAAATTTGTTCAAGTTAATTATTTAAGCATAATTTTAAATCTTTTATGTTAAAGTTTAGGTGCTAAGAAATTTATTCGTTGTTTTGGTTTTGCAAGTCAGTTATTCTGTAGTCATTAGCTCGATTTACGTGAGACAAACTCGCAGAGGTGCTTAATTTGACGTTGCATTCGATTTCGTGTGGGTGTCTTTGTTGCCCTCTATCCTCGATCTATCGCTGACGCGCTGCTCTTCTGTTCTCGCCATTCAGGCTAGCCGCCATCAGGACATCAACCGGGGCGCCCTCTGCTGGTGGTCTTGCTGAAGCTGGTTGCTTCTGCGTGAAGGTGAAGGTGAATCGCGTTCGCCTCATTGATCCGCGCTCACACCATCAACATCATGTTGGGAGCTTCTGAATCAGGTACGGGCGCGTTTACTCTAGCGTCTATCTATCAGGACTAGTGCGTTTCCATTAGTTCACTATTGCTTTGTATCTCTATGTGTAAGTTCGTTTATGTGTGCGCGTGTGTGTGCGTTCGTGTGTGCATGCGTGTTTGCATGCGTGTGTACAATAGGCCGATCTACGGCATCTACATGCGGCTTCTGTTGCGTTGCCATGGCGACAGGTGTTGCTGGTGGAGCAGGCGGACAGCGCGACCTTAGCTGAGCAGCTGCTCACCGTCATGGAGACGATCCTAGCGGAAGCCAGCGCCCAGCGGAGACTCGTTCAAGGTGAGGCCATGTTGACCATATTGGCACGCGATCGTGTGGTGGCTACCGCAAAAGTTTGCGCGGACTCTAAATTGATCGAGTCTGATCCCGTTTGTTGAGGTGTGGTTATCAGGATCTGTATGTCGGTCTGGCCAGTCGTCTCTGGTCATGTCCAGTGAATCACGTCAATCTGTTAAACTGTTCTGCATAACTGTTTAACTGCCACTCAAAGAAAGACCCCCAAAAGTGTCCTTTATAAACATGTGACAATCATATAGCGATGGTATGACTGTATAACCTGCCACTCGAACGAAACCCCAATGTTTTCTCTCTACAGGCGCTGTCTTATATTTCCATCATACAGAGCTATGTCACATAGATATAACAAACCGCTACCATGCCGT